CAATGACAGGTTGCAGCACTGGGGGGGATGAAGCAGCCTGCAGGAGGGAGGTGGCTGGTCTGGTGTCATGGTGCAATCTCAGCCTCAACATGAACAAGACGAAGGAGATGATAGTGGACATGAGGAAGAAGAGGAGAACTCATCAGCCACTGTTCATCTGGGGACTCGAAGTGCAGAGGGTGAGCAGCTTCAAATACCTGGTTTGTCCACATCAATAAGGACCTCACTTGGACACTTAACACTACACAGCTGGTCAAACAGGCCCAATGGCAGCTGTACTTCCTGAGGAGGCTGAGGAGGTCTGTCTGGTATGGCAGCATTACTGATATGGACCGCAAGTGCCTGCAGAGAGTGGTAAAGACTGCAGAGAACATCACCAGGACTCCACTGCCCTCTCTGCAGAGCATTTACCACCGCAGGGTGCATAGAAAAGCTGCCTCCATCCTCAAAGATCCCACCCACCCCCAGCACGACTGTTCACCTCCCTACCCTCTGGCCAGAGGTTCAGAAGTGTGAAATGCAGGACCTCCAGACTGATGGCAGAGGGAAAGAAAGAGTTTTTCAGACTCCTGAACAGCTGAGGAGTTTATTACTAGGCAATACGTCATGTACTGTCGACCTGTACTGTTTACATTCTCAGTTTGCACATGCATAATTGCACATTGACTGTTGACTGCTGCACATGCTGCTCCCATGCACCATACATTCTCTTATGATATTCTTACATATTTTTATTATATTGCCACATTTGCTGCTTAAAGTGCCTTAGATTTTGTGTCACTTATTTATTAACTTTATATTTCATTTGTATTATGTGGCATTCATGTGGACGGCAAAGTAAGAATTTCATTGTATATGAAAACATGTTTCTTAACTGTGCATATGACGAATAAACACTTTGACCTTTGACCTTTGACAGTGCAATCCAAGTACTGGGTGTTAGGTATTTTTTTAGTCAGATAGAAATTGGTTAGATACTTGTTGTATTAGAAATGTTTAGTGGAGACAGGATGTCTAGGTAGGCTGTTAAATGCTTAGTCATTCTCATGAGTTTTTTTGCAGGGTGCATATGGTCAAGGATAACTAGATAGAAAAAGTTAGATTGTCAGCAGGCAGGATGATTATTGTTATTATTATGATATGTTTAACCGTAACTGTAATCATAATATTTTCTTATGTTTAATGTCATGACATGTCACTAGATGTCATGTCAGAATGTTCTTAGATACACACCACTTAATCAACACTCACACACATTGATTTTCTCCATGTTTTGACTACTGCTACGGTCAGCTGTAAAGCTGGCATATCAGGTGATGCCACGGTTTGACGTTCCTGGGTAGAATGGGGCTAGCCCAACCGAAGAGATAAATGTATAGGCCTGTTGTGGTTCAGGGTTTTTTCATTCTTCGTCTGCCTGCGTGCAGTATTGGAGGTGGAAGATACCAGGATGTGTAATGTTAATTTTACCTGTGATCCTTTGAATAAACCAGCACAATTTTTTATATCCAAGTGGACTGCCTCGTCTCTCTGAGTTCCTGGTCAAAAGAACTGGAATACTGCCTTCACAGGCTTCCAGGTGTACAGAGCGGATTGCGTAACAGAGCTGTCCGGGAAAACGAGAAGAGAGGGAATCTGTCTCTACATAAATAAGGTTGGTGCACGGTCACGTTCCTACAGCGCACATGTAACATGGACTTAGTCTCTCTTTATCAACTGCAAACCTTTTTATTCTCCCTGAGAATTTAATTTTTATATTCTAATTGGAGTGTACATAAGACTGCAGGCCCACGAAGGTGCACTACAGCTCCTGGCCGAACAGATAACTAGTGTGGAGCTAGAACATCCTGACTCCCCATTCATTGTTCTAGCGCATTTTAACAGAGCAAATCTCACCCAAGAACTGCCCAAATACAGACAGCACATCATCTGTCCCACCAGGGACAAAATCACACTGGACCACTGCTACACAACAATAAAAGATGCCTATAGCTCTCGCAGCCCTCGGACTCTCAGATCACTGTATGGTCCATCTTATTCCAACCTACAGGCAGAAACTTAAAGCTGCAAAGCCTGTAGTCAAAACAGTGAAGAGCTGGACCGAGCAGGCTAAGTCAGAGCTACAGGCCTGCTTTGACTGCACAGACTGGAGTGTATTTGAGCTACAGCTACAGACCTGGATGAACTCACTGACACTATGACATCTTATATAGCTTCTGTGAGGAAGTGTGTGTGTGAAAAATTCCTTCTGCACATACAACAACAACAAGCCCTGGTTCACAGCAAGACTCAAGCAGCTTCATCGTGCCAAAGAGGAGGCCTACAGAAGTGGGGACAGGACCCTGTACAGCCAGGACAGGAACACACTGACAAGGGAGATCAGAGCAGGAAAGAGGAGCTACTCTGAAGAGCTGAAAGCTCAGGTTTCAGCCAACGACTTCTCGTCTGTGTGGAGGAGCCTGAAAAGCATCACTGGCTAGAGGAAACCACCCCCCCGCTGTGGAGGATCATCAACTAGCAGATGACTTAAATGTGTTTTACTGCAGGTTTGAGACAATATTAACGTCCCAACCTTCCCACCTCAGACCCAGTGGCTGCTCTCCCGACAATCACCACCTTTCCCCCTAGCCCCCCACCTTTAATGATCTGTGAAAAGGATGTGTGTGGCCTCTTTAAAAAACAAAAGATCAGAAAGGCATCAGGACTAGATGGTGTGACCCCCTCCTGCCTGAAAGTGTGTGCTGATCAGCTGGCCCCCATCTTCACACTCATCTTCAACAGGTCACTGGAGCTGTGTGTAGTCCCCTCCTGCTTCTAACATGCCACCATCATCCCAGTCCCAGTTTTCACTTTGTCAGTATGGGTTACTGGGTGTAGACTGATGGGCAAAAATGGACATTTTATCTATATAGAATAAATTAATACAATAGTTTGCAGAAAGTGAAGGCATCGGAGCACTTTCTGAAACTACTGTACATATATCCATATCTCTGAATGTTTGTCTGCAGTGTTGTACCTTTTCATTTTTTTTCTCTAATTTCCATATGAATGATACACATTTGTCACGGCTCTGCAGCTACTCATTATGTTAAAATGTGTCTTTGATGTGCAGGATTAATTGACAGAAATGCAGTGAGACAAAAATACAAATG